GTCGGTGGGTGTGTGTGTGTGTGTGTGTGTGTGTGTGTGTGTGTGTGTGTGTGTGTGTGTGTGTGTGTGTTCTCTCACAAGTTGTGGTGTGTCCTGCAGCAGTGGTAGAAGTGTGGCCTCCAGGATGGCAGTCTGCTCTGAGCTGAGCCCCTGCCACAGAGACAACAGTAGGATGAGGAGGTGAGTGGCACTCCGCAAACGTGTAAAAGCTTGGATCAAACGCTCCCGGTTGTCTTCTGCTGCATCTGCTAATGCTATAACCTGACACAGAGACAGACAGAGAGAGAGAGTTTCAAGTTAAGGGTACAACTAAATGAATTGATGTCCTGACTTTACGGGCTTCATGATTAACGTCTTATATAAAAAAAATTTCTATGTAAAATAAACAAAAATTATTTTTAGCAAAAAAAATTAAGCTTATTTTTAGGACTTTTAAGATGCATTGCAATATTATTTTGATGACAATTAGAGTATGCACATTATGCTCCACCTCGTATCTTTAATAAAGAAGAGTTTGCAAGAGTTTCTTTGAAATCACCTTTATTCTCAGAGGTAATTCCCATGAGATTATCATTACTGTAGCAGTATTTAGCACTACTTAGAAGTCACGAAAATGATTTCCTAAAAAATAATGTCATAATGCAAAGACTTTATTGTCTTTTGGAGTTTGGAGATTTTGGAGTTAAATATGTCCTGGATATAGTCTGTAAAATTCACCCTAACACCCTAAGACGTCTCTTGTCATAAGCAAACTGAAAAATTAAGCGGGTCTTGGTGTGGGGTAGAGTGAACCATTAGTGTTTTGCGTAATGATTTTTTTCCTTTCTTTTTTTTAATACAGTTCAATGAAAAGTGGGATATGAGAGGCTGTTGAAAGAGAGAAATGAGTAAAGATAAACAGAACAAGGCAAAAGGGGAAAAACATAAGAAACAGTGCTCCACAACATCAAAAGACAGCAAAAAAAGTCCAAGCATAGTACTTACTGACTAACGTTTGCTAAAAATTAGCCCATCTTTCAGGCCTGATAAAGTTATGCTCTTGGAGAGCAGACCTCACCTGTACAGTCAATCATATTTTGCCTGAAACCACAAGGCACAGAGCACAAAAAACACACTGAAACAGTGTCTGAGAGAGACAACTGCTATTAAAGATCAGTGTGTATTGATAAAAAGGTCTGAACAGCCAATCTAAATAGACCTTCAGTGAAGGAGCTTTTGTGAGTGAGAGTACAAGAGTTGATTGATGCCAGCTGGGCAAAAACAAAATCACACAGGAGAGAGAAAGAACTACTACACGAAGAAGAGGAAGTCATAGGTAAACACCCTTGAGAAAAGATGGCAGTTCTTGAACTTTCTCAGTGAAGAACAGTATATTCAAATGCTGAATTTTAGCTCAAGAAGAGAATAATACAAACTTTTTTCTTTATCTATTTAAGTGCCTTATTCAAAGTAGAAAATAAAATAAAAAAATGGAGAAACAGGAAGTGAGTTTTCATTATGTACAATGTTGAGTATCACTTAAGATGAGTTAGATTAGAAACCACTATCTTGAAGAGCTAAAATTTGCTGTTGGTTAGAAAAGAACAGACATGAAACAGCTGGAAGACCGTTAGACCCATCAGTGTGGTCACCACTTACCCATGGGCACATTCTACAAAAATTATATACTCTAAAATTACCCCAAACCATTTTGAAATGTAACATTTTAAGCCCAAAACAAACCCCAGCCAATGCAAAAGACAGGCAAGAAAATGCTTTATTCCCTGAGGGATGTAGCCAAATACGGAGAGACAGAAATATGTGTGCAGTCAGGATAAACAGATTTTTTTTTATTTTTATAGTTCTTCGTGGGATGTCATTAGTCAGTGGTCTTGTGCCAAATACGGAGAGACAGAAAAATGTGTGCAGTCAGGATAAACAGATTTTTTTTTTTTTTTATAGTTCTTCGTGGGATGTCATTAGTCAGTGGTCTTGCTCATACCCTCAGGAGAAAGAGAACTGTCGAAATACAGCACTTCACTGCTGAAGCTCTCATCATCAGACTTGAGTACCAAAATAACATCAAACTCTTGAAAAAGCATCAGCAACATGGTCTGGAGCCATAGAGCCCATCTGCCTGATAGTGGTGAAGAGCAGGGGCATCATGCACATTTGAGGGGCCACAAGTGGAAGCCCCTTTGGTGTCCTGGGCACTCTTTTTAAAAACAACACAGTGACTTTTCAGTTGGGTGTAAATCAACTGAAGCTACCAAATTTAGATTTAAGATTACTGCCACTAAAATGAAAAACTACTATTATGCAAAATTAATTTTCAAAGAAAGTATTTTTTTTTTTTTTCCAAAATCTCAGAGGGCATGTGCCCCTCTGTTTGAACGGACGTGGCACTTTTGGTGAAGAGCATAAGTTTCCATGGGTGAATCTCACAAAATCTGAAGAACGTTACAGTCAAATTTTGCATGTGATCAATATTTACATTATTAATAAAACATAAATACTATTATGTTGATTTGACCCCAAAAATATCTTAAAAGAAAAGTCTGGCCACAATGAAATACTAGTGAAATATTATTGCAATTTTAAATAACTGTGTTTTCTAATTTGATATATTTTCAAATGTATTTTATTTCTGTGATGTAAAGCTGAATTTTCAGCAGCCATTACTCCAATCTTCAGTGTCACATGGTCCTTCAGAAATCATTCTAATATACTGATTTGCTTCTCAAGAAAATTTTTTCGTAATATCAGTGTTGAAAACAGTTGAACCATGAAGCAATTTTTTCACGATTCTTTGAAGAATAGAAAAAACTATTGGAAATAGAAATCTTTTATAACAATGCACTGTAAATGTCTTCACTATTATTTTAGATAAATTTTAAACATCCTTGCTGAATAAAACTATTAATTTCTTTAAAAAATAAACACACATCTTGAACAGTAGTGTACAGTATATGGAAGACAATTATGGAGACCCAATCTTAGTGCTTGAATAAAGGGTTTAAGAGTTTAACCTGCCATATCTACAATTTTCACTATGAAGACAATATGTATTAAAACACATTTATAGCAAAAATACAAACGTATTGTCCGCACACTGATGTAACTGCTCCATAAAAATAATTTATTGCGGCAACGTTTCGACCATCAGGTCTTCGTCAGGCACAAATTACGTGAACTGGTACAACTCTTTATAAGTAACAGGTGATCATTCTAATTAGACACATTCAATCACTGTGCAGGTACACTTCCACAAGAAAACACAGAGAGAGAGAGAGAGAGAGAGAGAGAGAGAAAACCCTGCAGTAAACTCGAATAAATACACAAATCAATACAGGTCAAATACAAATCTTAAACTCGAAAAAACTAACAAATCAATACAGATCAATAATCACTCAAAATATTCAAACAATACTGAATACACACAATCCTATAGAAAAGGCTTAATATCAAAATCTTCATTCAACCCAAAAGGTGACAACTTATTTAGAGTATAAATCCAAAAACATTCCCTTTTTGCAGGTTACTTTGACGTTTAAAAAACAAAAGGGGGCCATCCTTGAAAACATGAGACAATTTAGAATCACTAGAAATAATATGCCAATGCCTGTAAATAACCTTACGAAATTCTGCACCTAATGCTGAATACCTAACCGAACAAATAGGGCTATTGCCTAGTTGTGTTTTATTGCTCGTAGCACATGTGTTTGAGATATATCATCAAATTTACTCTTAGCTTCTTCTATCCATTCCCTACGATAACCACGATGTAGAAATCTTGAAGTCAAATCAGCAGACCATCGAGAGTAAGACTCTTCAGTGCTACACACTCTGCGCACACGCTTAAACTGGCTAATAGGCAGGCTTTTAATAAGAGGTTTTGGATGGAAACTATCACCTCTTAAAATCGTATTACGATCCGTTGGTTTACGATACAATTCAGTTTGAAGTTTACCCTCAGAAATGTGTACCTTTACATCAAGAAAACTGATATTCTCTGTATCACACTCCATAGTAAACTTCAAGTGTTCAGTTCTAGAGTTGAGATAATTCAAAAACAGCAACAATTCAGCGGGTGTAGAATTCGTTATAGTCCCCAGCTAGGTAACTTCCAATAAGCCTATTTTCAGGCGCTGCGTAATATCATAGCGCCTGCTGCACCCATGGTACGGCAGCAAAGTTCCTTGATTATTACGCCGGAATGAGAGTATAGTTCCTAGCCATATCGGCCTAGAAAATCGCAACTTTGCATTTTTCGTCGGTCTTAGTATACAATGTAACTACAGAAGAGTCAAGTTTTAAATAGGAAAAATATAGAAACTCTTTGGTCATTTTTGAGCGAGATGCTAACGGTCTAATCAGATTCAATGATCTATGCTAAGCTGCAGCTAAAATTGCTACCGCCAGACCCGGAGATCGGCTGAATGGATTCGAAAATGGTAAAACTCAACTGTTTAACTCTAGGGAAGTTGGAAAATGAGCCTATTTTCAAAAATAGTGGAGTGTTCCTTTAAGACATAACAGATTATGTTTGTGTGAATACTTAAATACTGTAATTAAATACTGTATATGTGTATATTTATCGGGATTGCTCGCAGTCGGAAGTGCCTTTATGCGGGTGCTTCGGATGACAGTCAGCCAAGAAGCGAGCAGAGAAAAGGTACTCCTCTCAGAAAATGTACAAATAAAGATCATTTTAGATGTTTAATTACTATTTGGAGCATTGGGACCGCTAGACGATGGCTTAATAAATAATTAAATAAATAATTTTTGAAAACCTCAAATTCGACTAAAATCTACATTTTTACTTTTATTGCGTGTGGCTCAAAAATAGCCTGTGCGTATTCTGACTCATTTTGCCAGCACGGGTCACAAATGCTATAGTTGGTTACTGAATGTGTGTAAGAATGGCTCCTGTGTGGAGGGAAAGCTGGGAGGTTGATGGCACAGAGATATGCATCTGTACCAGCAAGCGATCCTAGACAGTTACCATTGTTGTTTTTAGTCATGGCGCAGAAATTACATTGAGATGGATAAAGAAATGCTGGCAAAGACAATTCTTGTTTATAAACTCATCCACTGAAGAGAGTTGAGTAAGACCAAGGATATGATAGAATCTGGCAACCCATAGAGACAACTAAGATGCCTTATCAGCTGGCTCAGATCTGATAAATATGCCACTCCGTGTCTCTTTTGTTCTGTCTTCCTGGGAAAATTGTTCATTATCGAACTTTTCCTTCACTTCTCCATGGGTGAAACCATTACAG